AGAGACTTGTGCAAGAATATTTATAGCAGATTTACTCACATTGGAAATAACCCAAATGTTTATCAACAGGATAACGGATATCTAATGGCTTTATTGTACAGTAAAACACTGTACAGTATAGCAATAGTACGTTGACACAGTCAGCAGGTATGATTCTCATAGACATGCTGAGTGACAAAAGCCAGACAGAAAGAAGTATGCACCATGATTCTGTTTTTAAGAAATTTAAGATGAGTCAAAGCTATTTTATGATGATAAAAATTAGGGCAGTGGTGGGAGTAGGTAAGGATTGCATATGAGAGGTGCACAAGTGAATCTTTAAAAAAGAAATATATGCCAAAACCAGTTTGGCTCAGTGGATAGAGCATCGGTCTGCAGACTGAAGGGTCCCGAGTTTGATTCCAGTCAAGGGCATGAACATTGGTTGCAGGCACATCCCCAATGGGGGTGTGCAGGAGGCAGCTGGTTGATGTTTCTCTCTCATCGATGTTTTTAGCTCTCTATCCCTCTTCCTTTCGCTCTTAAAAAAATCAATAAAATATATTTTAAAAATATATATATATATCTTTAAAGTGTATATAATTATATATATGCTTTATATATATATATAATGATATACAATATATAGATATATACCTATCTATCTATATATATGTATCTCTCCCCCCCCCCTCTCTCTCTCTCTCTCTCTCTCTCTCTCTCTCTCTCTCTCTCTATATATATATATATATATATATATATATATATATATATAATATTATATATAATTGATTGGCCGCCTCTCGCACACCCTCTATTGGGGATCAAGCCCACAACCCTGGGCATATGCCAGGACTGGAAATTGAATTTTGACCTCCTGGTTCATAGGTTGACGTTCAACCGGCTAGGCAGATTTCAAATTTCTTTATTCAACTAATTCTTAATGGTTCATAAATACCTCCCCAACATACTAATTGTTATGAAGCATATTGAAAATGTACAATTTCTCATTGAGATTGTTATAAATTGTATCTAAAGTTATACTTCCAGTTGTTTCTTTCATTTTGAGGGCAAACAATAGAATCCCTTTTAACATGTTCACCTTTAGGTCTTTAACTTCCACTTCATGAAGTGATAAGAAGGTCTATAATGGTTTGTGAGTATCTTCACAATAAAGACACCACAAATAACCAAAGCCAATTTGGCTCAGTGGATAGAGCGTCATCCTGTGGACTGAAAGGTCCCTGGTTTGATTCCTTTCAAGGGCATGTACCTTGGTTGCGGGCACATCCCCTGTGGGGGGTGTGCAAGAGGCAGCTGATCGATGTCTCTCATCGATGTTTCTAACTCTCTATCCCTCTCTCTTCCTCTCTGTAAAAAATCAATAAAATTAAATTAAATTAGAAAAATGAAAAGAAGTTGTGTAGCCGAGACCGGTTTGGCTCAGTAGATAGAGAGCGTTGGCCTGCGGATTGAAGGGTCCCGGGTTTGATTCTGGTCAAGAGCATGTAGCTTGGTTGCGGGCACAACTCCGGTCGGAAGGGGTGTGCAGGAGGCAGCTGATCGATGTTTCTCTGTCATTGATGTTTCTATAATAGCTCTTTATCCCTCTCTCTTCCTCTCTGTAAAAAAAAACAAAACAACAATAAAATATAAAAGAGGAAGGGAAAAAGAACTTGTGTAAACTTTAGGAAATTTTAAAGCTAGTCTAAAGAAGCACTTCTATTTTCCCAGCTCTATTTCAGAAATAGAAATTTCTATTAGATAAGAATATGTAATGTTTTTTAAATCCTATTCTCTTTTTAATATTAGTTTAGCATTTCAGCCAGTTTTTAGCATAACCAGTATTTTCTTACTTCTTTAGCTTCTCTAAAAGAATAAATTAGATTTAATAAAGATTTACTCTGATAACATTTTAAAGAACAACTTGTATAGATTTTTCTCTAATACATAAAATATAGACATACAGATGTGATACTTATTTTATCAGTTAAAATAGCCTTTCTCGCCGAAGCCGTTTTTGCTCAGTGGATGGAGCGTCGGCCTGCGGACTGAAAGGTCCTGGGTTTGATTCCGGTCGAGGGCATGTACCTTGGTTGCCAGCACATCCCCGGTAGGGGGTGTGCAAGAGGCAGCTGATCGATGATTCTCTCTCATCGATGTTTCTAACTCTCTATATCTCTCTTTCTCTCTGTAAAAAAATCAATAAAATATATATATTTTTTGAAAATAGCCTTTCTCAATGAGCTTAATCTATAATGCACTAAAGCAGTATTTCTGAAAGATTATCATACCTCAGACTCACTTGGAGTACCTGTTAAAACACCCCAGAGTTTCTAATTCAGTAGGTCTGGGATAAGGCTGAAAATTTTCATTTCTTAGAAGTTCCCAAGTGCTACCGATGTTATTAGTTGGTGAAAGCATATTTGTTATACTCACTGCCTTAAGACATTATCCATTCTTGGTAATGAGTTATTTTGTCTTCTAAACCAGTGTTTTTCAACCTTTTTTGGGCAAAGGCACACTTGTTTCATGAAAAAAATCACGAGGCACACCACCATTAGAAAATGTTAAAAAATTTAACTCTGTGCCTATATTGACTATATATAAAGTAATTCTCTTGAATAGGAATCAAATAAACACAAAGAAAGTATTTTATAATTACTTTATTATGAAATATTAAGTAAACAAAATAGTGAAAAATTATAAAATTCTTGTCTTGTCTGCACCTACGGCACACCAGGCAACAAGTGTGCCGCGGAACAGCGGTTGAAAAACGCTGTTCTAAACATCCAAGGTGGCATTATTTATATGTTATCCTGGGGAAATTGAGAACACAGTCACTTACTAATTTTCTCTATGTGTGGTTGAAATGAAGACCCCCAACTGAAAAAGAAGTATTTTAGAATGATATAATTAGTGTGGTGAAAATGGGCATATATTTGTTTAATAGTTTCAAGATCTTAAATATTTCACTATTATGCTTACATTTATAAAAATTTCTATATTAATATTTAACAGAAATGCTATGAATCCTTGCTCGTTAGGTAGATACCATTTTCTAGATACATATTTGCTTTATTAATATATTTAGAAGCAAATGAATTTGGCCATTGCTGTGTGAGGTCCTGAAGGTTGGTGACCACTGAATTAAGTGATATATTTTAAGCAAAAACTTGCTCTATTTCAAAATGCTAAGGAATCTTTTCAGACTTTTCTAAGAAAAGTATATTTTATTGATTTTTTTTTTTTTTTTTTTTTTAATAGAGGGGAAGGGAGAGGAGGAGACAGTCAGAAACATTGATGAGAGAGAAACATCAATCAGCCGGTCCTGCACATCCCCCACTGGGGATGTGCCCGTAACCAAGGTACATGCCCTTGACCAGAATTGCACCTGAGATCCTTGTGTCTGCAGGCCGATGCTCTATCCACTGAGCCAAACTGGCTAGGGCCAGACTAAATATTTTGTAATTTTTCTATTTTTTGTTGTTAATCCTCACCCGAGGATTTTTTTTCCCCCATTGAATTTTATAGAGTGGAAGAGTCGGGCAGAGGCAGAGAGAAACATGGTAGACAACATTGATTGGTTGCCTCCCACACTTGTCCCAACCAGGGCCAGGGATCGAGCCTGCAACCGACTTACATGCCCTTGACCAAAATCACAGCCAAATCAGCTAAGGCTCCCATTGATTTTTAAAGACAGAGGAAAGGAGTTAGGGAGGGATAGAGAGAGATTGGTTGCCTCCTGCATGTGCCCTGACCCTGTCCTGGAGATCTCAGATCCGAGAACCATGGCTCTAACCACTGACTCAAACAGGCCAGGCCTTTAATTTAATTTAATTTTTACTATTTATTTTTTTATTGGTTTCATAAAGAAAGGAAGTGGGAGAGATAGAAACATCAGTAATGAGATCATCTGCCTCCTGCACATTCCCCTTCTGGGGATCATTCCCAGAAACCTAGCATGTGGCCTGACCAAAAATGGAACTGTGACCTCCTGGTTCATGGGTTGATGCTCAACCACTGAGCCAGACCTGCTGGGCAAGGCTGTCTTGAAAGTAAAAGAGATGTGCTTGATGATGTCTTATTGTCTTTAGAGTGCCATTGAAACTAAGTTCCCCATGTTAGTATATCACTTTATTTTTAACTTTATGTCTAGAGAAATGGGTAGGAAATGAGTCAGTGGATATAGCTTATCTGAAGATATCAGTAACAAGAAAAAAAACAAAGCTAGTTCAAGACAGTTTGAATTGTCTTAAGAAATAGAATGACCCAGAGAGAGAGAGAGAGAGAGAGAGAGAGAGAGAGAGAGAGAGAGAGACTTCAATGTAAGAAACATCAATCAGCCTTAGCCGGTTTGGCTCAGGGAATAGAGTGTCGGCCTGCAGACCGAAGGTCACGGGTTCGATTCTTCTGGTCATGGGCACATGCCCGGGTGGTAGGCTCAATCCCAGTAGAGGATGTGCAGGAGGCAGCCGACTCATGACTCTCTCATCCTGGATGTTTCTATCTATCACTTCCTCTCACTTACTCTCTGAAATCAATTAACACATTTTTTTAAAAAAAGAAGAAACATCAATCAGCCCTAGCTGGTTTGGCTCAGTGGATAGAGCGTCAGCCCATGGACCGAAGGGCCCCGAGTTAGATTTTGATCAAGGGCACCTACCTCAGTTGCAGGCTTCTCCCTGGCCAGGCCCTGTTCAGGGTGTATGCAGGGTGCGTGTTTGTCTCACATTGATATATCTATCTTTCCCTTTCTCTTCCACTCTCTAAAAAACAATAGAAAAATATCCTCAGGTGAGTATTAAAACCAAAAAGAGATAGAAAGACTGAGTCATTGTAAAGAAAAAAATATGGTACACAAATAATATAATTATAAATTCTATGACTTAATTATATAATTAAGATAAAGCCTGGGCTACTTTTCACTCCAGTAGTTATGTTTTATTCAGAAAACATCTACTTTGCTTTTGTCATGTGGAGCATTCTTTAACTTGATTTTTTTCTATTTTTAATTTTAGGGCAGCAGCAATGACTCTCCGCACGGTATTATTGTCGTTGCAAGCACTATTGGCAGCTGCAGAACCAGATGATCCACAGGATGCAGTAGTAGCAAATCAGGTATGATAGCTGCTCCTTTTGAAAGATGCATCTATACTTACCTGTTAGTCTCTGCGTTAGTGGTTTTCATTGTTAACATATGAGCATACTTCTATCAGACCCAAATTTGGAAATGGTTCTTGCAATAGGTTATTTTGTCAGATATATTAGTGAAAAGTTAATTTCTTCTTTCTTTAATCTGAAAAGATAATTTCTTGATTTTTAACGTATTAGCTTAACACGTTAAGTGCCCTGTCAGTCACCAATGACTGACACTATACTTCCCGTCCGGACGACAAAAGGGGTTGGGTGCTTAACGTGTTAATTGGGATATGGTAGATTTTTTTTTTTTTTAGCATATTATAAAAATTTTCAAACAAATAATGTTAAAAGAATTAGAGTGAACATCCATATACCTACCTAACCTATATTCTATGATTAACATTTGCCTACATGTACTCTATTATAATTATTATCTGATCTTTTTTTTTAATATATATTTTATTGATTTTTTTTTATAGAGAGGAAGGGAGAGGGATAGAGAGTTAGAAACATCAATGAGAGAGAAACACATCAACCAGCTGCCTCTTGCACACCCCCTACTGGGGATGTGCCTGCAACCAATGTACATGCCCTTGACTAGAATCGAACCTGGGACCTTTCAGTCCGCAGACCGACGCCCTATCCACTGAGCCAAACCGGTTTCGGCTATTATCTGATCTTTTAAGAAAGCTTGCCAACTTCTATCTAAACCATTAGGATTGATTTTTCACATAGAAATTTTTTCTTCACTTGATTTCTGAAATAACAGTTCTCTTTTATCTTCATAGTTGTAGTCATTCCTTCTTAGTTCCCACAATTATTTCTCTTCTTTCTATTCCTTTTTAAATATAGTTCCTTGGTTCTGATATATACACTCACTTGGATGATCATATCCACACTGACTTACCATCTGTATATTGATAAAATGTTCATACTAGACCTTTCTCCTGAGCCCAAGAACCAGTTTGGAACTGGATAGCTCTATCTGAATGTCCATGAGTACCTCAGCATAGCATTCCCAAAACTCAATGCAGAATCTTAGAGCCTGCAGACTCGTCTATCTTTCTATGATACATCATCAATGTAGTTAAATATCCAAGTCACAGTTTTGGAATTCTTCTCCAGGTATTTTTTTCTCTTGTTGATTCTCTTCCCAGTATCTGTCTGTCATCATACTTCTCTGGTGCAGCAGTACAGATTTTTTTAATTTTCTCATTTCTAATGCTGTGATAGAACTAACTCCCCTTCCTCAGCCTCTTTCTTCCCCCATGTTCTACATTGATACCGGTTAGCCTTATAAAGTGTAAATCTCATTTTACTTTACTACTAAAAACCTATTTGCTCTATCACCTACTCGGTAAGTCTCAATTTTTTTTTAAAGATTTTTTTTAATTGATTTTAGAAAGGAAAGAAGAGGGAGAAATAGAAACATCAGTGATGAGAGAGAATCATTAATTGGCTGCCTCCTGCACACCCCCCACTGAGGATCGAGCCTGCAACCCGGGCATGTGCCCTTTATTGGATACAAACCTAGGGCCTTTCAGTTCATAGGCCCTCGTTCTGTCCACTGAGCCAAACCGGCTAGTGCAATAAGTCTCAATTCTTGAACTTGCAGAGTTCCTCCATGATTTGAACTATCTACATACCCAGCTTAATTCCCTAAATTCTTATTGTTCCTCAACCTCATGCTTTTTCAAGATGCATTTCTAGCTGAAACCGGTTTGGCTCAGCAGTAGAGCGTCTGCACACTGAAAGGTCCCAGGTTCGATTCCGGTCAAGGGCATGTACGTTGGTTGCGGGCACATCCCTGCTAGGGGGTGTGCATGAGGCAGCTGGTCAATGTCTCTCTCTTATCGACGTTTCTAGCTCTCTTTCTCTCTCCCTTCCTCTCTGTAAAAAATCAATAAAATATATATTTTTTAAAAAGAGATGCATTTCTACATGTCATTTTACCTGATCTGCCATAGGACATTTTTTGTTTGTTTGTAAATCCTCACTCGAGGATAATTTTCCATTGACTTTTAAAGAAGGGCAGGGGGGAGAGGATGGGAAGGAGACACACACACACACACACAGAAACATTGCTCAGAGACAGACAGGCAGGCAGGCAGACAGACATTGGATTGGTTGCCTCCAGAACTGCCTGACTGGGGCCGGGATCGAGACTGTAACTGACATAAGTGCCCTTGATCAAAGTCAAACCCAGGACCTTTTAATCCTCACCCGAGGATTAGAGAGAGAGAAAAGGAGAGAGAGAAACATTGATATGAGAGAGAAGCATTGATCACTTGTCTCCTGTATGCACCCCAAACAGGGATAGAACTCATGCCCTTTTTTTGGTAAAGGATAAAGGATGGCTCTGCCACACCAACCAGGGCTGCCTGATGGAACTTTTCCTCTCAGCAAGTTTCTCTTTTCTCTCAAAGTTGTTCACTCCTTGTTTTATTATATGTATATTCTTGTTAAAATACTCTGTCTCTGAGTGCTTAGAATTACGGTTTTACATGTTATATGTATGTATGTGCTATCTGTTCAGTGTTGGTACTTAGAAGCATAGCCTGAGTCCCAGCTTTGGTTCCTATTTAGTGGTGAGGTGGACTCAAAGATTTCTTCTAGTTCCTAAAACAAGCCAATAATTTGGCTTATTTCCTTGTTAAGAATTAATATTAGAAAATATATTTATCATTAAATATAACAAAATCTCGGTGGTAAAATATTAAAGATGTGTAAAATACTTCTGAAAGAAAGTGAATTCCATAGTTATTTTAATATATTTTATTGATTTTATACAGAGAGGAAGGGAGAGAGATAGTTAGAAACATCGATGAGAGAGAGTCATCGATCAGCTGCCTCTTGCACACCCCCTACTGGGGATATGCCCGCAACCAAGGTACATGCCCTTGACCGGAATCGAACCTGGGACCCTTCAGTCCCCAAGCCGACGCTCTATCCATTGAGCCAAACCGGTCCCGGCTCCACAATTACTTTAAATGTATACTTTGCTTTATTAAATAATGGAATGTTTGAGAATAAATTTACCTCTTTTCAATCCATATAGGAAGTTTTTATCTTTTACAAATGTTGTATGGTAATTTCATAATCATCTCAAAACATGTGATATAAGTTAGGCTTTGTACATGTGTTTTTCTTTTTTAAAAATCTTTATTGTTGATATATGGGGTTTTCTTAAATAGCTATTCACTGATACAGCTCTAGCAAAACAGTAAAGTCCAATTGTGTATTCTAGCTGAGCTGTGGTTAATTAATGTCCATGTTATTTTAAAAACTAGTAATTTTTATTTTTAGAAATTATAATTCTATTTAGTTGTATAATATCTGCCCTACACAGTATTTAGAACCATCTCTAATTAGAAACAATCTCTAAGACCTCACTTGACTTAGCATTAGTTTTCTAATACTTACATTTGTTGAAATTGGAGATCAGAGTTGATAAATGTTATTTGTCTTTGTTTTTCTTTCATCTATATAACTTATGAATTCTAGCTTATAATAATGTTAGTTTGTTTGTAGTAGAGAGTGAATCAACAATATTTAAAACCTACATTAGTTTTATCTAGAAAAAGCAGTTATTAGGCAGTTAGAACTTAGCTAGTTACTACTCTATTGTCATGTCAATCAATTTTTTTTCCTCATGTAGTACAAGCAAAATCCTGAAATGTTCAAACAGACAGCTCGACTCTGGGCACATGTGTATGCTGGAGCACCAGTTTCTAGTCCAGAATACACCAAAAAAATAGAAAACCTATGTGCTATGGGCTTTGATAGGGTAAGTAACATAAAGGCATGCTGATTTTTTTTTTATTTAATATATTTTATTGATTTTGTACAGAGAGGAAGGGAGAGAGATAGAGAGCTAGAAACATCGATGAGAGAGTCATCGATCAGCTGCCTCTTGCACACCCCCTACTGGGGATATGCCCGCAACCAAGGTACATGCCCTTGACCGGAATCGAACCCGGATCCCTTCAGTCCCCAAGCCGACGCTCTATCCACTGAGCCAAACCGGTCTCGGCAAGGCATGGTAATTTTGATATATTCATTGATTTTAAACGATTGCGGCAAATTCTTGGCTGACAGAATTGCTTCAAAAATACTCTAAATTTAGTTTTGATATATGAACTTCTTGTTTTTAAAAATCAGTAATTTTTTTTTTCTTTTTACTCATTCCAGTCATTTGTTTTAGAAGCTTTTTTATGCACAAGTGCAATGCAACATAAAGATTAAAAAAAAACAAAACAAGTTGTGGTTTCTTAATACAAAGGGAGTGATTTAAGATATTTCCTTGAGATTTGATTTTTTTTTTTTTCCCCCTTTTTATTTCTACAGAATGCTGTAATAGTGGCCTTGTCTTCAAAATCATGGGATGTAGAGACTGCAACAGAATTGCTTCTGAGTAACTGAGGCATATTGAGAGAGCTGCTGATATAGTCAAGCTTGTCCCTTCTTGAGGAGCCTCAACATCTGTTATTTTTAGGATTCTGCATAGATTTCTTTTAAACTGGCATTCTTGCCTAATGATGTTATCTAGGCACCATTGGAGACTGAAAAAAAAAACATCCCTGCTCTGTAAATAAAGCTAATTAAACGTCTGTGTAAATTTAAAAAGGGGAAATACTTTAATTTTTTTTTTCCTTAATAGTGTAAAAATTCTTTGAGCTAAGCGAAACCATGGAAAAAACATGCTACTTTAGTATTTAGCAGTGTATCAGAATAGCAAGAGTTTGCTTCAGGGTTTTGTTGAATAATTAAGGTAATATTTTGAGTGTGTCAGGACCATTCAAATTGTTGGTGTTGCATCACAGCTACCTTACCTGTTTTTAACATGGATCCTCTGTGCCTGTGAATTTACTTGCATGCTTGTACTTGACTTCTTAAGATGGGCAGCTGAAAAGACCACCATTTTAAGCATTTGAGAATTCTTAAACTTGAGATTTATCTAGAATGAAGATGGTGACCTCTTCAGAGCCTTTTTGTCCTGGTCAGCAGACTGGGACACTGTATTTATTTTTCCTCTCTTACCACACACAGCTAATATCCTAATAGTAAGTTCTCTGGGAATTGTGTTAAAGGACAGTATCCCTTGCTTCATTTTTTTTTTTAGGTTGTCCATATGGAATGTTATGTCACAGTTCTTTACTCTTAAAAACGTTCCGATGTGAAGTCATAATGTAAAGAGGGAGCTGCCAACTTTCTCTTGCAAAATCAGTAAATACTTGATGTTGCAGTATCCCCAAGATTTAATAATAAAAGAACCCAACTTAGTTTTCAAGTGAATTTGACATCTATTTTTAAGCTGATGAAGTTTTTCTTTGAGAAACAGAAGAGACAAAATAAACCAACTGCAGTTTTTTAGTCTAATTTTGGCTTTGTAGAGATTGCTTTATCAGATACTTTAAAAGTCACTCTTGCTTGCATTTCCCCCTATTTACCCATGAAAGCTGTGTTGGTGTTTAATTGTACATACTTCAGATGCACATAGGAATAGAAATGTGTTATAAATCTAGCTTTCTTTATGATGTTTCTGATAATACGAAAACTGAAAACTTGACCTTCTCTTGTACATATAGTCAGACTTTCTGTGTATTAAACTTACATTTCATTCTAAATTCTAAAGTTTGAAGATTTTTAGTTTTGCAAGTTCAAACACTAATGTGACTATTTTATGAAGGTTGAAATAGATTTATGCAGGCAGTCCTATGCATAGAAAAACAGTTCTTATTAAATTTTCAGGACAGTGCAAATAATAAAAATGTAATTGAATTGGAATTAATTAAAGCAAGGCTGTATATTGAAAGTCCTATTACAAAAGGTTTGTTTTCTTCAAGTGTTATTTATCCTAAATTATAATTGTTAAGTGTTTGGAAAATAATTTTAAACCATAAATTCAGCATAATTTCATTGACGTCTCAATAATCTTAGAAGCAATAAAAGAACCATTGTTAAATATATTGTAATGTTAAAGATGTGAAGGTTCTTCCAAAAACTTGTAAGGCTTTCCTAATCAATAGTAAACTCTAGCAGTAGATATTCATACTAAACACAAATTGCTATGTTTTTTCCCCTATATGTTTGCTTAAGCATAAATTTCTTTATATAATCACCTCCTTTAAATTGTTGTAGTTTAGTTTCTTTCTAAAGATGCCAAAGGAAACAAGATTTTTCTTTATTTATTTTAAATAACTAATGCTTTGTACTTTTCTTTATATTTTGAAGTAAGGTTGGAATTATGTGAAAATGTGGACAGTTTTGTTGCATTGTTGGTTAGAATTTTTTTAAGTGTAGGGCAGCTTGGTAATACATTTGGATTATTTTAAATATCAGACACCTACCCAGTTTACTATTTGCCTATATTTTCAGGGTATATTTAATTGTCCTGTGGTTAAACAAAGGAGAGACTCAGAGGTTACTAAACGGCAAGCATTACTTAGCTCTGGGAGGCAGCTATACCTTGCCTCTTATTTTTATGCACATTAGCCCAAAGAGTACCTATTCATCCAACTGTAATTCAACATCCCAGTGCCCAGGAAATTGAAAAGTAAAATATTTGGTTTGAGAGGTTCTCCATAATGGATTTTTTCATTTCAAAATTTATTTACCTCATTTTCATTTAATGTGATAATTCTCCTTTCGGGAACACTGTCATCCTATTTTTTTTTTTCTTCCATATTTCTCTATAGGTGGATTTATTTTCCTAAACAAAGATATTAAAGCAATTTCTTTTTCCTTCTTGTCTTTTATATATGTTTAGAAAAAGGACACTAAAAGTACAAGTCTATGTAAAAGGTACCCTGGTAAAAATTATTTTTATAATTCTCAGTTTTTTGTGATTTTCCAGTTTTTTTTAAAAGCCTCAAAATAATGGTTAAATATATATATATATATATTTAGTGGTGTCCTATTTACAGCAGGCAGACTTGCTAAAAGTCAACTGATACTCCAGCAGGCTTTTATTGTAATCAAATCTATTCTGTGAGAATGTGCCTGACTTTTAAAACAACAAATAATTGTATAACATTTCAGTACAGATTACGGAAAGAATGAATAGCTATTTGTGACCCAAACCAGTATAGAGTAAGTAGTTTATAAATATTTGAAGAACTTGTACTAAATGAGATGCTCTGAGTTAACTCCCACAAATGTTTGGAATTGTGACTATGGTTTACTGAAACACAACACATTCAATTTTATAAATATGTTTGGATTCTGAGTATTTTGCTTTTAAGAAGAATAATCTAGGAAATGAAAGTAAGACTGATGGGGGGGGTGTTTTTCACATTTGTGGTTGTTGGTGACGCTTAAAACTATGCAAACTAATTTTTTTAAGTAGTATCCAAGAGAATTGGCAGTTCGGTGGAAATTGCTTACTTATGCACTACAGAAAGTAGCATATCATGTTACTGTTTAGGCTGCTTAATAAGTTTATCAATGTGAAAGTAGATCTTGGCTATAAGTTTACACCTGATTTGAGCTTTTAAAACTCAGCAATAGGAGTAAGATAATGTTTCCACAATCTTGTAGCAACAGAGGAAAGAACGCATTTTGTAGCTTCAAAAATTTCAGAGAAATTCGGGCAGGGCAGAGTTGGAGCCAGGTATCCTTGTACATAAATGGAAAGCATGTTTGGATATGAAAAAGGAAGCTGTCTGTTTACAGTTAACTTTATTTCATGGACTTTTACAAAATGGTGTGTGAAACACTTTTTCTAGTTCAAGAAATTTCAATTCCAGGGTACAAACCATTGATTTAAGAATTTTGCATTTCTATTCTTTTAGTATCAGTTTAAAATAATGCTTAATAACAGCTCTTTGCTATCACGAGGGAAGAAGGCAACTTGAAGTATTTACTGATAAATAGCCTTTCCCCCAAATGTGACTTTTCTGCCGTGTCTACATATTATGTCACATGTTCTATTTGCACTGCTGCAACATGGATCAAAACTCTTGTGGCCCAGGGGTAGGGGAATGTCAGTATCTTGTCCTGCTCTCCTACCGCTTTATTGGACTGATCTACCCTCATAAACCTGTGACCATCGCCTAAATGTAAGTTGAGAATGTGTCACCTTTTGCTTGGTTATCTTAACCATGCTGCTATACATATAGAATCAGGTGTGACACAGTTTATCAGTTTGGTTCTAGCAGGTGGGTGGCTATCAATCATTGCACTGTGCTGTTAACCAATCCTTGTGTGCTTGCTGTTACCTACTTTTTACAGGCATCATAATAAAAGCTAGACTATTTCTTTTGGGGGGAAAGAGACTTATTTAATGTAATTTAAAGACTTTTCCAATAGAAAATGAAATACTATTGAAAATAATATCTATTTTTTAGCTTTCAGCAATTGATGGTGCTTTGTCGTGGTGTCTGCTGGAAGTCTACTGCCATTGTAGGGATTCACATTAACCTCACTGAGAACGAACCTTGCTTGTTAGCTTCTCTAGATCTCTATTCTCCACCATCTGTTAGTGATGATAAATCTGTAGGAGGGTCTGTCCTAAGCCGTTAACTCCTGTATGGGGAACGTGGGTGGGTTACCAGAAAGACCATGAAGCAGGGTGGGCTGTGGGGGAGGGTTGGGTATTTGTCTTGAGAATTAAAACTACGAAACACTTTTGTACACAACTGATTTTTAAAAAAAAAATAAACACATTTTTAAAGATGTTGAATTTTTTTTCCCCCCTTACTGGGAATTCTTAAAAATAAATGCATGCCTGTTTTTTCCTGAAAATGGTTTATATCTTCTTTCTGGGCATTCATATGGGCAGGCAGTTAAGCCTCCACATTACTTTAAACAAGCAAAAGCAGCAGGTAGTGGTTTCTCCTAGGCAAGTTTCAAAATGATGAGCATGATGATGATAGATGCAGTAAATTATATTGGGTCTGAGTTTAAAAATGAGTTGAAATTTTTTTCTATTCTAATTAAAATTGTTTATTTGAAAACAGACATTTAGGTTTTTTTTTTAATATATTTTTTTATTGATTCTTTACAAAGAGGAAGGGAGAGGTATAGAGCCAGAAACATCGATGAGAAACATCCATCAGCTGCCTCCTACACATCCCCCACTTGGGGATGAGCCAGCAACCAAGATACATGCCCTTAACCGGAATTGACCCCAAATCCTTGGGTCCGCAGGCAGACGCTCTATCCACTGAGCCAAACCGGCTAGGGCTTAACGAGGTTCTAATTTAAAAATTGGCATAATCTAGAGAGTATTGAAAGTAACTGTGTTCATAGTGCACACAAGTCTTTCTGGAAAGATTACTACCATAGAAAGGACTCTGAATTGTTTCAGAAAGTCCTGGGTCACTGTCCTTGGGTTACCCCTGCCTCCGTTAGTAACGATAATTAGAAGAGTTCATATTGATTAGGATTTGTACTAATTATTTTATATAGCAAACTGACGATTACTTTGTATCTCTAGGGCATTCATAACAAGCTTTCAGCAGTCATGAGTCTCTCTGACCTGGAAATGGAATTGCTCCTGAATGGAATACCAATATGAAGTGCTCTTTTCATGGAGCAAGCTGGTCTTATTAAAAACAAGGATAACATGGAATTCAAGGGAGCTCTCATGCCAATCCCCAGCAAAGAATGGTCAGATTTAAAGG